AAGCATAGACCTATATTATATACAAAAACATGATACAGTACAAACACACATGCTAAACTACGGTATAACTGCACAATCTGGCCGCTCACGTACACAAGCATAGACCTATATTATATATAAAAACATGACACAGTATAAACACACATGCTAAACTACGGTATAACTGCACAATCTGGCCGCTCACGTACACAAGCATAGACCTATATCATATACAAAAACATGACAGTTTAAACACACATGCTAAATTACGGTATAACTGCACAATCTGGCCGCTCACGTACACAAGCATAGACCTATACTATATACAAAAACATGACACAGTATAAACACACATGCTAAACTACGATTTAACTGCACAACCTAGCCGCGCACGTACACAACATTCGACCATAAATAAAACAAAGAGAAACTTCCACAAGATATGGCCCACTTGACTAGGGCTTGAAATAATCAAAACCTATACAACTTCGTACAGACTATCAACTCACCTATTTAAGGCATTGAAGAATTCTCGCTCCTCTAGGTACTGTGCAAGAACATCGGCGTCTTCTTGCGAGAAACGCTTCAGTGCGTATGACATTCCCGTCTGTTGGCATTCTACCTGAGTCCGGGTGAGGTTCGCAAACACGAGCTTAGTTCACATGATCTTTGTTCAAGTGTGCACAGAAGTTTCATACCAAGCCACTTCTCACTTGGCGGCAACGGGCGTTTCAAGCGGTACGGCGCTGGGTCGTGTGCGCACGTGAACGGGGGTGGTTCTATGAAGGCTATGTAAGACGTAGATAGACCCTATCGACTACATGCCAACGGGGTTTATGCCTAGTTTGAATCATTGCGAATGCTCGTCGCGCAGCCGGATAGCATTCGCCAGTGAGTGGATTCGCTGAACAGGCGTGCTATCTACTGTATGATAGTGAACTATTGTTTACATGGTGTTCACGCGGCATATTTCAGCTATCAAGGCCTAAAGACGTTGTTCACATTTACGGCCAGACTTGAAATACAATCATATGTTTGGCATTGAAATTTATACCGATGATGAACGTAAACATAAAGCATGATTGATCCCCTGCCAAAGATACCTCGCCGATGGCGCAATTGTTTTTGGATTTGCATCATACAGAGCCCATTTGCGGCTGCCTGTTTCCATAGAACGACATGTAACTAGATGGTATGAGATATGAATTAACATATATGTAAATGCACCGACAAATAAGTGCGATGGCCCACCTACCAGAGATACCTCACCAAAGGCGCCACTGTCGATAAACTTGCAAACAACATAGCCTATTTTGCCATTGCCATAAGCGGTCGCCGTCCCGTCTTCGCCCATATCGTCACTGTCAGCTGCATTAGTTACGGTCGTCTGAGAAACGGGAGCAAGGATTTTGAGGAATGATTCGGGATGGGGGTAATAAGAATCAGGTATGTGAATTCTGCCTGCGTAAGAGAATGAGACAGGATTCTAAAGTGAGAAGGGAGAGGCACCTTGGTTGGAAGCTAGATTATTTGGGTATGTCACATATGGCTTGCTGAGGGTACGAGAAAGGGAGCTGAGGGAAACAAGGTAGTATACGGTTGGGTGTGAGACTATACAGGTGTGGTAGTCGGATACCTTGTAAAAACGATGAGCTTAGGATGGTATCAAACTAAATAATCAGGCATGAATAATGCCTTTCGGCAGGTGGAAAAACGCCTCAAAGTTCACGGCATAATATAGCTAGGAACACAAAGAGAAAGTATCAATAGAAACAGAATTTGAAATTAATGCAATGCCAGACAGTGGGTTCTCATGCACCGCACATTCAGCTAAATATTATGCACACGTGGTCACTGATGTGCACGGAT